AAGTAAAGGTCTTACTAGCATGGTGTACATCCATAACAGGGTTTCCGGTTTGCCTCTCCAGTTTCTTCCTGCTATTTTTCTGCACACCATCAAAGTTCGTGTCGCCATCATGATGGTAGAGCTGATGTGTGTCTTAAATGTTAGTGTTTATTTAGTGTGATGCCCAGATATTTGACCTCATTTTTATTTCTATGACGGTGTTATTGAGTATTATTTCCCTCATATGATCAAGTTTCCTTTTCCGTGTAAAAGCGACTATAGTTGTTTTATTGGGGTTGATCCCTAAGCCAGCGGTTTTACACAATTCTTCTGTGATTTTTAGTCCCTCTTGGATTATATCGCAGAGAGTTTCCTCGAATTTTCCCCTAGCAGTCAGGACTATGTCATCCGCATATCTCTATATTTTATTCCTTAACGGTCCAGGGTCTCGAGCAATTCATCAACTGTTAGGCTCCATAGAAGAGGTGATAGTATCCCTCCTTGAGGATATCCTTTTGTTGTTCTAACTTCTATAGTGTTTATTCCTATATTTGTTTCAGCTACTCTAGTTCTTAAAAATTCTCCAATCCATCTAGATGTGGTTTGGTCTACGTGTTTTTTCCTCAGGGAGACTTCCATTGATACATGAGATGCATTGTCGAAAGCTCCCTCAATATCGAGGAACGCGCAGATTGCTATTTCCTTTGTTTCCAGTGTTTCCTTTACGTCACTGGCTAGCTGGTACAGTGCAGTTTCTGATGTTCTTCCTGCTCTGTATGTATGCTGACAGTAATGGAGAGGCTTGTTTACCAGTGCTGTCGTTCTTATATGGTTGTCTATCAGCTTTTCAAGGGTCTTTAGTAGAAAGGATGTTAAGCTGATTGGTCTGTAGGATTTAGGTAATGTAGGGTCTCTTTTCCCCACTTTTGGTATAAAAACCACCTTTGCCATGTCTGTGGTATGTAACCTAGTGCTAAACTACCTCTGTATAATCGCAGCAATGTTGCAGTAATTATATCCGTTCCTTTGTGTAGCAGGATGGGAAACATCCCATCCCTTCTCGGTGCTTTGTGTGGGCTGAAAGTGTTAATCGCCCAGAGGATTTTCTTCTCTGTGATTATTTCGGCTACTTTCTTTCAATTTTCTTTCTTGGGATTATCTACTCTCACATTTTCTAGGGAGATGTCATAGGTACTACCTGGAAAATGTGTACTTAGAAGGAGCATTGATTTTTGTTTCTTATCTTCTGTGTAATTGACTTCTGCATTTCTTAAGGCAGTGTTTATGTCTGATCTGTCCTTTGCTAGTGCCTTGTGCAGTCTAGCTGCTATGGATACTGTGGAGATTTCTCCGCAGAATTTGCGAAAATTTTCTCTTTTCGCTCTGCGGATTGCATGGTTATACGAAGTAAGTAACCTTTTGTATCCTCCCCAGTTACTTGCTAGTCTAGCTTTGTTGAACGCTTTCCTGGTTTCTTTCCTTAGTTTGCCCAGTTCTGCATTCCACCAAGGTGGTTCTTGTCTACTTTTTAGGACCTTAACAGGGCAACTTGACTCATATGCATCAATTATATTCCCTGTGAATTCCATAACTGCAAGTTCCAATTCATTGTAGGTCTTTGGTACTCTCTTCACTGTTGCGTAGTTTAGACTGTGTTACCATCTCAGTGAACGTTACCCAATTTGTGTTTCGGGGGTTTCTAAACTGTGTAGGGTCTGTCCTATCTGATTCGTTGCCGAACCCTGTGCAAGATTAATAAACATAACACATTAATTTTCCCAATGATATCAAAAGAAAGGAATTATTTTTCTATACTTACCACAGTATCTTTCACCTTTCTTAGTAGGATGAAAATTGCGTGGTCAGTAGCGTTCTAGGTGTCTTAGTGGAATGTCGGGAAGGATTAGGGTGGAAAGGTTAAAATAGGCTTGAGAAAATGTTGAGAGATGTTCGAGCATATTTTAGAGTCGTGTGTATTGAGGGGGTTGGAAAAGGTCTGTAAAGTTGGATAATAAAATAATAAATATATGTAGGATGTGAACTGAATTTATACAATGCTAGAAATTTTAGATTCAATCAAAGTATTTGTGCTCACTCGAAGTGTTTGTTTTCTTGTAGTTGTGTCATTATTGGGTTCCGTTTTGAGAGGGCCAGTGAGATATTGATGTTTTATGTTTTTGAAGGGGTGGGGAAGGATGTTGGGCCAGAACACATTTTTATATAAGGAATCGGCTTCTTTGAGGTAAAAGGAGACGACAATGGGAAAGAATGGGTAATGTAATGGTTCGGCCAGATTATCCTTTCAGGATTATATAGGCAGGGATAATTAGGGAAAGGAAAGCTAAATAGTTGAAAAATTAGACTATGTAGAAATGTTTGATGTGAGGAATGTAATGATTGTTTTATATGTTATATGATATTTATTTAGAAATCGTGAGATGCGGTCTGGTGTGATGTAGGTTTCTGAAAAACATTTTTTTTATCGTGCCAACGTGGGCACTCTAGACACGACACGCAAGAATGACCCAATTACACAGAAGACAAACACTTTGAGCCCTGAAGATGATCTCAATAAAGATCGAAACGTTGGCACGATAAAGAAAATATTTTTCTGAAACCTACACCACACCAGACCGCATCTCACGATTTCTAAATAAATATCGATTAACAGTCACTAATCACCACACGTTATATTATATATTTTGTGTGAGTTGATGACGATATACGTATGTTATTGAATTGAATTTTATTAATGATATTAGCGTAGCTGCGACTGAGTTTACATGTATTTGTTCTGTAATAGATGCTGTGTTTATCTCTGTTGATGTAAACTATTTCTAAAAAGTTAAGATTATGTTTGTTTTGTTCTGTGTGTAATATTTTTGAATTGTTGAAGTCGAAATTGTGTTGGTGTTCAAAATGGTGGGTAGCCAGTGCTGTAGGATTTTGCATGGGTTTTTTGCAATCATAGATATGTTGCTTTACTCTCTTTTCAAGATGTAATTCCGATGTAAGTTGCCGTACAGTTTAAACAATTGATTTTGTAAATTAAGTCAGACTTATTTGTTACTGGTGTGGGATCTTTAATTTTGGAAATAAGTGTGTGAATTGTTTTATAGTTTTTGAAAGCTATTTTAAAGTTATCAGAAGAGAGAAATCTGTTTAATTTATATGATAGGCCGTGAATGAATGGCATGGATATTTATATTATTGGTTTGTCTGTATTTGATAGATTTGATGTAGTATTATTTCAATAGTGGATGGTATTAGTGTTTAGTTGTAGTTGTTGATTATTCTGTTGATTATGTGTTTAGGGTAGTGATTGTTATGTAGGATATGTTTGAATATCTTTAAGTCCTTGTGGTGAAAAGATTCATGGCTTAGAGTAGTAATTCTTTGATTTTTAATAATATGATCTTCTTGATCGCAGGAATGAACGTCGTACATCTTGAGGATAACGGAACCCATCTCATTATCCAGAATGTCTCAATATATGAAAGAATTAGGGCGATTTTTCCTTATGGACATTTTACTTTCTAAACGTTGAAAGTTGTATTGTAAACTTTTAACAATTCGATACGGCCATATATTTTTCGGATTAAACATTAACCAACTCGAGACGAATATTTGCACTCAGTTTGCATAAATACATAATAAAAGGAAGCTCAAATATTTTAGAGGTTGGCACAAGTGGAAATTCAACTCGGTAAACAATTACAAGGGCTTCAATTATGGTTGGATCCAGCGCCCCACACGAGGATATTGAAATCCGTCTGGATGTTAAATAGGATGTTAGTCTTGGTAAATTGGAGGCAAATGGCAGGTTGGCGCACAAGGATCGGCCTGTTTATTCAAATCAACATTGCTGGCCATTGGCGGCCGTCATGTCTCGTTGTCACGGCCATATCCTAGTGGATGGCATGAAATATTAAATTGAATTCGTGCTTGACAGTCCCACGTCAAAATGGCGAAGCTTGTGTATTTTGCAAGGGAAACGGACGGGATTGTATGCAATGTGTATTTAAATTCTTTTTTAAACCAGTTCCCGATATGACCCCGATTTTAGTATTGGAAACCTTCAGGACTGCTTTTTCCATTGAAAAAAGTTACAGGGCACACCATTAACAAAAATACCGATCGACCTTTAATTTTGAATTTCAGCCAAAAAAAGACTTTTCTTGACAGTTTAATTAACGTTACAAATTTAAAAAATCAATAAGCCTTATATTCGAGTGTTTAATTTTATTGTTTCAATTGAACTAAGTGGAATCTAACATTAAGTCCATAAATTGTGAGATATTTCCTGGAGATGTGCGGGATGGCAAACCTGTAACTTGAACAATTCCGGCAATTTTGGACACTTTTGTAAACTTTTTTATCTGTATACTTGACGATATATATATATATATATACATATATATAGTTTTGTAATCATTGTACTTCTGAAAATATGAAAAAAAAAATCTCTACCTCCCTCTGTAAATTACGCATCCCCATTAGTGTTTAATCTGCGTAAAAGTGAAGATACATAAAGAAGTTTATTTAAAATAAATTTTGGTGTAATATCTACGGCTTACATGTGTTGCCTCTTCGCCGTGTGACCGTTTTATACCATTCAAACACAAATTGCATGAAAATTATTTCGAATAAAAAAATTTATATAAACAAAAATAATTATTTCGTTTTGATAAACCTTTGATAGACTTCAAATTGATTCTTGCTAAAACTAAGAGTTTTACAAATATTATGTTTAAATATTGATAGAAAACGAAAATGATTTTATTTTATTTTGTATCCTAAAGTTTAAAACATCAGAATAGGTGATAAGCAAGCATGAAAACAAATCCAATACGAATTAAGCTGCAATAATATTTACTTTCGTATCTACCTTTTCCTGTCCTAATCGATCTCCATTTAGTATTGTTCATGCGATCATACAGTAACAATTTCCAATAGGTGTTATTTTATATCTCAACGTTGTGTGTGGGGTTTTTTTTTGTGCTAATAAAAAAAATGCCCAATATAAAAAATGTATGTATGCGTATTTTGTTGATCAGAGTTTCCTACGTTTGTACTCTTACAGCAGCATTGTACCGATTTTCATCTTGTTTATCCGAGTCCACAAGTAAGTACATTATATTTTTTTAAATTTGTAATATATGAGTTTAAACAGGATTGTTATACATAATTTTCACCTAATTTATGTTTGAATGTTAGTTTAGTGGTTTCCGTTGTGGTTTGTGCTTTTCCATATTCCCTTCATCGCAGACGATGGGTATGCATTGCAGCTATAATCATAATATAAACGCTTCTGTGAGTTATTTTTATACATAGTTATACATTAGGCATTTGTAAATTCAATTACACTAGATGTAAATATTAAATTATATGTTTAGGATATAAACGATTTCTCATCTTCCTGGACGGAGAATATAATTCAAAACTTCAATCATTCACAAGTTTGTTGTTTTACGCAGTAAAAAATATTAGGTTTTGAGAAATTTTTATCAAAATTATTTTCAGGATGACGAAAGTTTTAATGGTGAAACATCAGAACGCTTTGTTACAAATATCGGTGTAAACAGCGAAGGTGATTCGTACCCCGAGACGTGCCCGCCAGTTTCCTCTGTCGAAGAAAGGGCAGTGGTTCCCGTAACTTATCCCAGTCCGAATTACTTTTAAATATAACTAGTGACAGCTCGTCTACTAGTTCTGAGGGTCTTGACAGCAACATATCTGAAAATACTATTCTTGTCTGTTTTTCTTTTTATTCGTTAATATTTTTATACTGTTAGAATTCGTACATTTATCAATTGTTTAAATTGTAGAAGGTACTAAATCTTCCAAATCCAGCACATTTTTTAGAAGAGGAGAAAACATCTTCAAACATCGGACAATTAGAACATATTTTCGACTCGGAGTTCCCTTCAGAACCGGTAATAATTAAGCATCATAACAATCATTACAGTGTAATAACCAATTTAAAAAGTTGTTTTGCATGCGGTTACTTTTGCGAAAAATGTAACGTATCCACAAACAACAAATACCAACACATATGCCCTCATTCGTGTACCTTTTGCATGAGTCAGACAAAATGTTTAATTTCAACCCTAGAGCCTCAAAAATTGTGTGATTATTGCTCTAGAATTTTCCCTAACAGTCGTTGCTATTATCAACATTTCACAAACAATATTTGCGGAAAAATATTTTTTTGTAATAAATGTTCGTCATTGATTAATAATCGAGGGAAAAATAGAAAGAAAAATATTCATAATTGTGACAAAAAATTCTGTAAAATATGTCGTGCGGAAATGCCGCGAAATCACCGATGTTTTATGCCTGTTGACAAACGTGATCTGCCTAAAGATAGTTTTTTATTTATTTTCGATGATTTTGAAACTACTAAAAATAACTCGAATTCAGGGAGAGGGAAATTGGGGGAGCTGGGACACTTTTTTAGACCAATCAGAGATCGCCAAACCCCACCACCAATTAGGCCACGCCCCCTTTACCCCCACTCCTTCCACATCCCTTTTTGGCCACGCCCCCTCGGCTTTTTTTTATTTATTTTCTATGATTTTGAAACTACTAAAAATAACTCGAATTCAGGGTCGAGCATTACATTTTTTTATAAATCTAATTTATGTGTGTTTAAGGAGAAATATGACAAGTGCATTGGTTTGGGAAAATGTATATTCGGACACAGCAAGTATTGCGTGGGGACACAATTTCAGACAGTTTTTTCGGTCACATCCTACAAGTAAAAAATAAATTTACAAATGTAATTTGTATTGCCCACAATTCGCAAGCATTTGATTGCCATTTCGTTTTAAAACACATAATTGAACATACAGATATTGTTCTGAAACTAATTATGAGGGGTCGAAAACTTTTACTTTTAGAATTTAATAACGTAAAATTAATAGATTCTGTTAATTTCCTGCCTTTGCCGCTTGCCAAATTGCCTCAAGCACTCGGTATTCCGCTCTGCATATATGAGAAAGGTTTTTCCGCATTTATTCAACATTTTTTCCAATGCCAATTACGTTGGTAAAATACCAGATAAAGATTTTTTTGAGCCTGTTAGAAAAATACTGTAAACAAGATGTACCGATATTGGAAAATGCGTGTATTGCTTTTAGGGAAATGTTCATAAACCTCTGTAATGTAGACCGGTTTCTCGAGTCTATCACCATTTCATCAGCTTGCAATCTTGTTTTCAGGAGAAATTTTTGAAAACCATTTTCCATAAGCGTGATACCTCAAGGAGGGTATAGAGAAACGGACATGAAGTCCCGAGCATGCCTAGAATGGTTGATTTTTGAAGAAATGAAAACACCCATTGAGATTGTGCACGCAGGGAATGGCGAATGGAAATTTTGAACTATTTCTGGCAATTTCGTTAACATCGGTAACATATGTGCATCTTTAGGCTGACTCTCGGGAGGATCACAAGGATTTCGTGATAAGTAATCTGCAATCGAGTTCTTTTTGCCCGGCAAATTATTAAGGGGGGGGGGACACAAGACCAACCTCGACTTCAACGTAGTGGTTCCTGGGACACTGGGGGGGGGTTCCCCACAAGGGCCGGTGCATCGTGGGAGGCAAGAAGAGAAACGGCGACCATAATTCATGTTGTTAGCGAAGAATGGCACTGAGGTGAAAAAAAAATAGTGCCCTAGACGGAAACCTCAAGGATCCGGCCGACTCTCTGTAGTATCCAGGATTACCCAGCATGCCGGGCTCTGCTTGGGCTGACACACTATATCCCTAGCTACTCGTGGGAACCGTACGGAACCTAATAAACAAAGAAAAATACCATCTCCCGAGTGAGGCCCACAGGAGACCCAATCTGGCAGAAGTGCCAAACCAAAATACGTCCCTTTCAAAACAAAAACACCCCTGGAGGAGGTCGAAAACTCTCGCCAGATGAGATTATTAAGGTCCGCTAGTCGGGAGGTACCAGAAACAGGCTACCAACTCTGTTGAAGGAGCAAATAAGAAAAAGAATCAGGGGAAGAAAAGCCTTCTTCAAAATCCGAAAAGAAAATGCCAAGGTCAGATGACAACCCCCTCCCCCCAAAAAGCATGTTCCAAAAAAGGCGAATATATTTGCGGAAGATAGCAATTTTCATTGGCAGTAAGGCAGCACTTAGAGCGCTAACCTCATGCGAGGCGAAGACAAACAGTGTTTAGAAGTTCATGGAGGCCCTGACAGAAGTCAGCGACACTAATGAACCTGGCGTATACTCTCGAGGTCCTGATCCTTGTTGGGGTTTAGCATCCTGCCACAAAAGAGGATACATTTTAAAATGGATCCCTAATGAGTCCAAAACCTGGTGGGATATTACCCAGGTACGAGGTACGCGGAGAGATTCATAGAAGGACCTTCCGCAAAAATTGCAAATGAATTACGGGAAGGCAACCGCAACCGACTCAGGACTCTGGTTGAAATCCTAAGAGCAAGAAGGCACATGCACCGAATAGGAGGACAGACAGAATAATCACTGTGCAGATACGGCTAGGAAAAGGACCGCAGAACACATTCTATGTTTCTGTGAAGGACTATGTAGGTGCAAGTTCTTGCATCTTGGACAAGACAAACCACAAGCAAGATCCTACACTAAGAAGCCGCTGGCAAAGCTATGGAGGCTGATTAAAATCTGAAGCTGGCCAATGAGTTATAAATACAATGGAAGCACAATAGATCTATTCAGGTTGAGGTGCGGTAGGCCTCGTGACCGTCTCTTTTATCCCTATCCCTTCTTTCAAAAGGGACGTCCTCTCTCTCGTTGCTCTTTTAATCACGCATGTCCTGGAACACAGCACACAGCAGAAGGTGGTCATATATATAGAGCAATGCTTTGATGGTGATAATAAGATTATCGTCTTCGCTAGTTAAGTTTAGAAATAATTGGTCTCATGTTTGAAGCATGTTCTTTCATTGGGATGGTAATGGCAGAAACCAATTTAAACAGTCCATATTTTATCCGAAGCCGAAGCCAAAATTAATTCTTAGCTAACTTGCCATGATGGTTTTAGTATCATTTTTATCTCTCACCCCGTCCAAATGAATTATATTTTTCTGCAAGAAAATTCGACTTCAATATATACAAATTTATATACGAGAAAATGGAAAAAATCTAAATAAATCGGTGACGTTTTTCAAATTTTAAGCAGCTATCATGGCGGTAATTATTTATGAGCGAAGTGGTTCGAAACGTATGTGTCAATCGATAGATTCGTAAAGGCAAAATAAACGTCATAAAATTTCAAAGTCAAAAACTACTTTTAACATTAACAATAAATAAATATACAAATTATAACAATGTAATAATGTAAGTAATTGTAAAAACTCCGTTTAAATATTTTGAACAGGCACTGTGTCACTTTTAGGGCCCTTCATCATTCGCGAGTTTATTGTACTACTGAAACCTGTTACGTCATTGCGCCATTTTCAGTGGAGAACGGATCCAATAAGCCTCTCGTAGACTGCTCTCTACTCTACTTTTAATTACATTGGATTCTCGCTATCTGTTTTTTTTTATATATTATACCGGAGTTTACTCGAATATTATCTTCATTTCCTGTTTGCCAAGTTTTAATAGAACGTAGGATCTTTGTGTGAGATATGATACAACACACGCAAGAAATTTTTAAAATTTGTCGAAAAGTTTTATAAAAAAGTGTCTGAACATATGTTTTATTTTACTAATGATTATAAGTGTTATGATTCGAACAAAAAAACAAAGAACACTTAATCTGAGTGAGTTTTATTTTCATTCGAGTTTGTCATGATAAAATGTTTAAAACTACTCGATCCTTTCCCGTTTTATTGAGGATTCAGAAAAATGCGCCATAACATTCGTTAATTCCTTAGTCGACGTCTTTTGCTTCGGCAGTTTTTCGGGCTCGACATCGGAGGAGTAGGTTGTGAAGGTATAACGTCGATGCCTAATGACCAGGGAACCGTACAATAATAAAAATATGAAAAGGATTGTTATGTTGATTTGAAGCAGTTTTAAATCAAAAATGAAATGGAAATAAATATGCCAATAGTATGACAATTTCGGAATATTTTCGAAAAAGTTCACTGCCGATATGAAAACCGATCTGAGGGGCGGCGGGACCTCGGTAACAAAACATTTGCTCCTATGAAATATAACTATTCCAATTCCCAGACCGAAAAACGCTGCAGACGGTAGCAAAAATTGTACAGGTAGTACCTTCGGGTGCTTGACGGTGAAAATTTTTACACCACTGACGGATGTCGGATCGAACAACAAAATAGCGTAAATACGGTCTTTATAGGATTCGAAGTTACTGTAATGCACTCTGGTCTTCCCTTGGGCCGTGACCAACACGTCGAACGTTCCTTCAAAAATATCTGCATAATTGATATCAGTTGAATTTATTCTAGGTATTTGGATGACACGACCGTCTTTGTATCTCACAGACAGTTCTGCGTCTTTATACGGTGAGACAAAATAAGCTTTTGGACTATTTCCTAGTCCTTCTGATAATATACTATATAATCTCGGGGGTATCGGCTCGATACCGGCAAACTCAAGACCTTCATTTCCCACGTAATAACAGAGTGACGCAGCATACATCAATGTGACAGCAGAAGTCTGGTGTAATCGGTGTTTGCGGTTGTTTATTTCCATTGTTGTTTCCAATCCATGGGTTTCTATTTTTATTCTGGAGAAAATAACGTACGAGAGGGGTTCGATAACGAGATTCGAGAAACTGGAAATTACATCTGTAGGCGAATCGAGGATATTGAAGATTCTGATTTGTGCGAATTCGTCCTCCGGTTGTGCGGCCTCCTGAAAATCCATCACCATGTGTATAAACATCAAATATGATAAGGATATGACCATGATTATTTTCCCCACCCCTATCAGACCAAAATCATTAGAAAACCACT